GTAAGTATAAACACTAGAGCGAAATGTGTACGGTGTCAATGCGCTTTTAATTAAGTCGATTATTCTGTGCGTATAAACGTAGTATATGCTTTTACTCTCAAATTACCGGATCCGGTCAGGATTGTACTTGTATTCGAATTAAAAGTTCTAAGGGCAGTTTTCTTAAGTAGTTTTTAAAATTTATCTATCCTTCAAACACACTTTTTGAGAAAACAAAATTTATGTTTGAAGGACTAGTTCATTTTAAAATTGATTTGAAAAAAATGGCCCTAAGCAAATGATAGTTGTATTCCCGAACTAAGATTTTTCAAATCAGTTTTAAAATTTATTAGTCCTTCAAACACAACAAAGCGAAACACAAAACGTGTTGCCTATGTGTGCGTGTTATAGGGAATTTACATGATTCAACTTTCACAGTCGATTAGTTGAATCAAAAGTTGAACGAAAGTAGGCAGCTGGCCAACTTCATTGAAAGCGATTAGTTGAAAGGCCGTTTATACCAGGCGATTGTTGCTTTTAACTAAAAGTTGCGGACTAGGTGAACGAGGTAAACTCGGACTCGCTTCCCCCTCTTGCCCATACAAAACCGGTTTTAGGCCGTCTGAGTAGTTCAGTGTGCCGAATTTATGATTGCGATGTCCTATGAAGTATCGATTTGCCCCACTGAATCCATTTCTTATAGTTCGAAAAATTGGGTCTAGTTCGCTCTGCATCTCTTTTCTATGGTTACGAACGAGTTCTCAAATCGGCAGACGAAAAATGTAACATGATTTTCCATGCAGTATTTTTGGTTTTCCCATGTAGCAATTTTAAATTTTTTTCAAAGAAATGTGTTTTCTATTTGAATTAAAAGTTGTTTGAATGATTGTAAGAAGGCAATGAAAACTGAGCTTTTGAAAACACTTTCATGTACCTGCAGCTGTAGCTGAGTGTACAGAGGTGCGTGCTGTTATTGATTAGATTCCAGAAGGTAATACAATTTTTTGTTTTATGTTTCCAAACTATGAAAAAACACATGTGAAGTGCAAAACGAAAGCTTTTCGAATGAAAAAAAGCCGCCAACAAATATTTATTTAAAGTAAACAAAAGGTGACTTAGTTCCCCATCTGCATTCCTTTTTCGATCGTTCTGAAGCAGTAATAAATTCGTCACCTCAGATATAGATTTCTAATGAAAAAATTTTTGTATTCTGTGGGAGTTATTACGTATTCTGGGACTATTTTAGACTTAAGCGTATCACTGTAGGGAGTTCCATATTTTAGAAAGCGATGCAATTTTTATTATTCCTGCTTTTTGCATCAAAATACATTTTTTTTTTGAAAAAATGGACTTAGCAACTTTTTAGTCTTAGTAAGCTAGATACATATTTATGTATGTAAATAGTATAAGAAGTTATTAGGAAAAAGACCATGGACATACTGAATCTCAATAGATCTGCAGTAAGAGTCCTTACCGGCGTCATGACAGGACACTGTGCAATAGTAGCAATGCTTCAACGGTGGCGAATATTTAACAACAATTACTCTCAGCAGAGATTGCCATGATGAGGATGAGGAAGAGTCAGTGCAGGTCTACAGAAAAAGCTCTTGCGTTCACGCTTTTTCAACAGTCTGGGCGAGATAGCGGAGGTGAAACTATTGAATCTCCTCGGCTTCATTAGGAATAGCAATTGGTTCAGTAGAATAATGATTTGAAGCTACTCTTTCTATTATAGGTACTTGTCTCCTCCTGACACTCACTTAGCGGATTCTGTCTCCGAGTGAAAGTATGGACTAATCCACACCACCATTTTAATACCGTGACGATGGCAGCGCTCGTTGTTGCTGTTGCAACAGCAAACAAGTTCCCCAAACAGTTTTTGGGGAGTGTTGCTGGAGTGCCAGTCCTTGACCAAATATAAATCTTGGTCGTTCGGGTTACGTAGTCCCGACTGTCGTGGGAACGCCCGTAAGGTTTTTGGGCGCCCCATCTAAATGAATATTCGTTCCTTTACAGGGCAGCTTGCATTGTCTCGCTCATCGCATTTCTTACATGGCGATGATTTCAGCCTTAATCTTTCAAATTAGATCAACCAGAGGCCCCTTTTTCATTAAGGCTCCGGACATTTCCTCAAATCATAGCCCTTTTAACATTTTTCCTGGTCGTCATCAATATATCAATAGCACTTTAGGAAAAATCTTAAGTTTCAAAATGCCACAAAAAAGCGCCGAAATACGTAAACTTAATTTTGAGTCGTAGATTAAGAATCTGTACTCTGTTTTCCTAGGCCAGGTCATTTTCCCGAAATATTTTAAATTCTTATGAAAACCAATCTAAGTTTAACTGGTAAAAAATTAAAAAATAAGGATTTTTTTATTTTGTAAATTCTTTTCATTTTTTTCTAAATTCTGATCTTTTACAAACAAATCAAGCTACTAATGAAGAAAATAAATGGAAAAATTAAAAAGTTATGAATGGTCAAATGAAAATGCGTAATAATTTTGTTGTAGGAAGAATGGTACTCATACGCCATGTGTGAATATGTTATTTTGAAATTTTTCCCATTAAAGGTAAAATTGTTCCGTAATCTATACCTAAAATTAAGTCTACAATCCTTGGCGTTTTTTTTTTTTTGTGTCAATTTAGCCTTCTTGCAGTACATATGTATGTGTGTATGTATAAAAAAATGAGTTTCTGTTCGTTTCTAAGACCGCTATAGCATCCTAAACGATACATTCGATTAGTATGCAATTTTGGTGAGGTATTGTGTGTATAGTATATTCAAAAAGGTTTGCGTATTCATGCCGATATTTAGAAAATTTATGAACCGATTTGATTCGAACTTAGTACGCATATTACCCTTACAATAGAAAATAATTTAGCATAAAATTGGCCCGCCAGGTGGCACTGAAGTTGAGCTGTTTCGACAATTTGTATTTACGGACCGATTTAGTTCAAATTTGATATACACCTTCTTACACACATGGTGGTATATTGAGGCAACAGTTTTTCATTTTAAACATTTTGTTGGCAACTATTGGGATACATTCTTCAAGAGTGTATTGATCCGAGATTCGGCGTTTGTTAAAAAACGCACCCAATATAAGAAATGAGAACTATTGAATTAATATGGCATTCACACTATCTTGATTGCGCGTCAGTCATAGCTGCACACCCAAATAAATTAATTTCGCCTTAGAAAAATTGTCACTTAAATCAATTTAATTTCGCCGAAATTAAGATTCAAATTAAGAAAAAATTTTTTTTTGGCATTTAATTTAGGCGCCACTTTTGAAGTAATGTACAATACGCTTTTGAAGAATGGCTGCGATAGGTTGACTCGAGGTAATAGATTGCAAATATCATTTCTAACGGAAAGTCAATACTTTGCCTACGTTTATTTATTTACATACATACATATGTGCCGTCAAAAGAAGAGGACTAAAAAATGTGTTGGGTATAAATACTTTCTAGTATCTCGTATCCAGCTCTCGAAAAATATGTTTCACTCTTTCTATCGCTTGAAAAAATGCTGTAAATTTTCTTGAAGAAATACATAAATGTACGACTATTTATTTTCTTGAGAGCTACAAACTGATTTACGAAATTCTTTGTCACATTTTTCTGTAAAAAATGTCAACCTAACTAACTCGTACCATAATAGCCCTTTTGATCTTTATTTTAAAGGAACGGATAAGTTCATTAAAAATGGCAGTTAACCCTCAGAATGTACGGAAAAGTTAAGCAACAATTTTTACTAGGGCCCGCCCAATAAAGAATGATCCGATTAAACATTAGTGCGCTATAGTCTTTAAATAAATTTGGAGAGGTGCCATGAAAAAAACTTCAGAATCTATCCACTCCAAGTCAATAGCCAGCGGTTGTTACTGATTGTTAAAAATTGTTGTGTAAATTGTTTCTATAAACAAACATACATATGTACATACATACATACATATTTTCGTCTGCGAGCTCTGCACCTCTTTGAACTGTCTAGCGTTTTGTTCACAACGACGCCGGACATGCAATGAATGTCAATTTGTAGGACACAAATTGCACTCAGCTGGCAATGGTTAACACCATCTTCGAACAACAACAACAATAACCGCTACAACAACTAAGTACTAGTGCAACCATGTACCCATATGCAGCACACAAATTACGTTCGTTGGCATGAGTGTACACGTACATACATACTATATGTAAGCATCTTACAAAAAAAAAAAAAAACGAAATCAAACCTTAGTTAAATCTATTTTTAGCTTCAAACTGGTGTATTTGTACTGAGCGTGTTAGGCGCCATCCTGCGAAGGAGGGAGACGGTGAAAAGAGGAGGTGCACCGCCGAGCTTATCTATCGACACCAACTCTAATGGAAAACCACAACAACATCACAGACGGAGAGCAAACAAAATGCGCATGTCTCAACAACCCGCCGACCAGAGCAGCAGAAGGACCAGAGAATTACTTCGATGTGTGTCGACACATGACCATCGCAACGTTGACAGCAAACAGCAAACCAGCAAACCAAGAAATGCCGACACATTACAATTACAGCAACAATGCGGCTGTAACAATAACAATGCCAAAGGACAAATACAAAACCAATATTAAAGGATACGGCTGCACATGCCGATAAACGAATCAAAGGAGCAAAAACAAAGAACGTCGAAGCGCAATGAGGAAGCAGCCACGCCGCCACCACTCTTCATCCATAGCGACCAAGCAGGAGCTAGAGCGTTCACAGCGCGGGCTATCGAAAAACAAAATTGAAATCACATTTCAGTTGGACTCGCGTCATGCAATTCGTCTGAGTTAAGAACGCATCACTGCAGTGG